CAAAATCTCCGGGCTTGTTTTAAGGTTCTGCTGATTAAAACACACATGCAATTTAAAAGCCGCAGGTTTGGAGTGGGGAGGGGGGGCTCTGCTCCTTCCTCTGACCTCCTGGAATCTGTGATGCTAATCGGACCCTGATGAGCTCAACGAAGAGCTAAGCTTCATTCTACCCAGCTTTAGCAAGATGGGAAATTCACAAAGTCTGACCACTGATCCACTGGGCAGCAGGAATCTATGGAAGACCTACTCGGCACTCCCTCCCAGAAGAACGGAACACCTGCTTGTCCCCAAAAGATATGTAAGGGATGTCCACACCCACAGAGAACAGAATAAACTGCCTTCTGCTTTCTCTGCCAGAGAGAGGGGGCGACTGGTCACAAGCCTGCGGGCCAACTCCCCCACCTCCATCTTTCTGTGCCTCCTCGCTCCAGCCAGATGCAGGACCAGGGTCCCAGCTCCTCCTCCACTTCCTTGTGCCCTTCAGAGAGCCCAAAGAGGGCTCATCACACCTGGCCCCCAACACCCTTTCCTTCCTCCTCAGAGCACAGTTGGCCCCGGTGCCAGGGTGGGAGGCTCACAGCAGAGATTTCCTGGCATCATGGCAGCGATATGCCAGCATGAGATTAGGCTTCCATCGGGATGTCCTCCCAAAGGAAGGGCAGAAGTTCAGCTCCTGGAAAGGCAGGGCCACAGGAGGGCACATGTGGGAGAGGACAGCTGCCCACCAACCCTTGAAGGGAATCTTCCAGCTGGACAATTTGTCCCTCCTTCTGTAATCATGCCTCCCATCTTCTCTGTCTGGCAAACTCCTACTCGTCCTTCAAAACCCATCTCTACTCCTTTGAAGCTTTTTTGAGCTTCCTTCTCCCTCAGTGCACATGTCACTTCATACACACCTGTCTTGGGTAACTGTGAAATTAAACGACAATAATTTTTCCAGAAAGAAGGCACACGTTTGGAAATCAAAGGGCCTCACTCCAAATGCCAGCTACCTTATTCACTAGCTGTGAGAACTCGGACAGGTCACTTTGCTTCTCTGAACCCAATTTCCTCTTCTGCGAAGTGGAGAAAGTAAAACTAATCCTCTAAGGTTGTTCTGAGGATTAAATAAGGTAATATACATGAAAGAGCCTAAAATTATGTTCATCATATAGAGTATGAGTTTCAAAGGCAGGAACCAGCTCTTCATTCATTCATCCACCCATCCATTCATCATCAACTCCTGTTGAGGAGAAAGCCCTGAGGCAGAAGCCAGGTTCTTCAAAATGTCACAGGACAGACACTGTCCAGGTGCCCCTAAATCTCCTAGTTGGTCTTCCTCACCCGTGTAGAAGAATTTGTTTTGCCAGCACTTGTTTTGGCTGACACTGTCCCCACCCTGCCCAGGTAGTTGAGCTAAGGGCAGGTCTGTAGAGTCCCAGCTGAAAGTTACCTGCCCCCCAGGGTTGTCAGCAGGCCTCTCTCCTGCACGAGGGCATCTTCTGTGGGCAGAGACTTATCTGAACACTCCGGGAGAAGAGAGATGAAGAGATGCCATCATCCCCACTCTCAGGGAGCTTTTGATCGAATGGGAGGGGTGCTCACCTCATCCCTGGAGAGTTTCCAGCCTGACGGAAGAGACAGACGCATACAAGTTCTGAACCTTGAGAACTCCCAATCTGATGGGAGAGTCACGTTTTCTTGCTTTGAGGAACTCCTAGTCTGAGAGCAGATAGCAGAGTCACATTTTCCCTGATACTGTTGACTCTTGTTTGACGGGAAAGACACAATTATCCCTGATTGTGGACTCCCCAGGCTGATGGAAGAGATACATGGCTCCTGATCTTGGCCCCCCCCCCAGTCTATCACTGATGGGGGTGAGATTGTTCCTGTCCCATGAGGGTAACGCCCCAGGCTGTCTGTGCCCATAGATAGCTTGAGAGCTAGATAAAACAACATGTATGGAAAAAAAGAGATCAACTAGAGTCCCTTTGAAAAGCTGGCTGTGCAGTGTCTCTGTCTGTTTGTAGACTCAGAAGTGATATTCCTGGCTCGGCTGAAGCACCATCCTAATCCACAGAGCTGGACACAAATGACACAGAACGATCCACCTCACAAGCACCCAGTCAAGCCCCCTCACCAGACTATCCAAGCCAAAGCTGGCCTGAGGCCCCCATCGCTGGCATTTCGTGCCAGCCTTGCCAGGGCAGGCTTTCTCACGATCAGGGACATCTGGGCTGGCCCAGCTCCCAGAGGCCACCGACATGAAAAGCAAGGGGCTCGGCAGAAACACCATCTGCACATCATAAAGCAGCTTGGTGGTTCCCAGAGGCTGCCTCCAGCTGCAGCTGTGCTGCCTGGAAAAGCAGAGGAAGACACCAAGTGGCCAGGAGGGGGAGAGAGAGAAGGACAGCCAAGAAGGGAGAGCGGACTGGAGTTCCTCCGCCTAGCACCCTTCGCACTTAGGAAATTACAGTCACCTGGTTGGTTTCCCTGTCGCTGCCCAGGTCCACAAGTTATGTCTGTCCCGGAAGGTGACTTTCATGACACGAGCAGTACACAGCAGTGGCTACGCACTCAGATCCTAGAGTTGTTACTGCCTGGGTTCAAACCCCGGGTCCACTCCTTAGATGAGTGATGGCCCTCGCTGAGCCTGTTTTCATACATGTATACTGGAGATGATAAGTATTGCCGCAAGAATTGAAAGAAATAATAGGTGTACTAAGCTGTACACTTAAGATCTGTACACTTGTTATACTTTGATAAAATTTCATTATAAAAGTGCTCAGTCACTACTGACTCTTACCATCATTATTATCTCCCCTCCCAGACACTCTCCTGAGGCTCTTAGAACAGGCACCTGTAAAGGGACAGAGTTGCTGAGGATATTTCATTGGCTACCCTCCCCAAGGCTCCGCCCCCAGCACCACGGCCACAGATGATTGGGCAAGGGGTAGGACCTTGCCCAAGGGAAGCTCACCTATTGGTGGCTGAGCAGAGCATGTGTATTGTGGATTGATTGTCACACTGGGCAGTGTGGAAGCAAAGAAAGAAGGCAGAGGAGGAGAAAGGAACCTAGAACTGCGAACAGCAGAGATGAAGGAGGCACAGGAAAGAGAGGGAGAGGAGGCCTCGGATCCCAGGTTTAAGGTTCCCACGTGAATTCTCAGTAGACGAGGCTGTACTGTACCCCCTGATCTTGGGGCTGATGAGCTGAGTCCTGCCAAGAAGCACAACACGCATACACACATGAATACATACCACACAGCACACCACATCCCTCCTGCCAACATTGATGCTCTCCTTCCCACTCCTTCTTTACAAATGCCTGCCCACATCTGAAAAACTTCCAGAATGGTGAATCCCCAAGGAGACTAATGTTGTTGAGTGGGTGCAGAAGCTAGGAGAAACAGAATTGAATAGCTCTGGACAATAGACTTTTTGGAGAGGGAGGAGAAGGAAGATAGGAGATGGCTGGCTGCAGGAGAAAAAGTACAGGTGCACAGAGAGATCCCATGGGGAATTTCATGAAGGGTCTGAACTGTGGTGCACAATCCTTATAGCAAAACTACATTAAAATCACATCAGTTGCCATCTCTCGGTTCTGCTCTCCATGTTGGCAATATTCTTGGTGGGTTTGCCCCTCATGGCTGGTAAGACAGCTGCCAGCAGCTCCTAGAGCTGCACCACCCCTAACCACAGTCAACAAGAAGAGGCCGAGTCTTGGTTTGGGCTCCCTCAGAAGCAGACCCTGAGACAAGGATGTGAGTTTGATGGTTTACTGGGAAGCGATCATAGGAAACTCTGGTGGCAGATAGGGGAAGTGAACCAGGGAAGGAAACGAAGCCAGTGAAGGGTGTGTTATCTCTGTGGGCGTCCAAGCCTAATTTCACAGGGGGGCTGTGAGACAGGGTAGAGAAGGCGGTGAAAGATGGGAGGGAACCAACCATGTAAAGATTGTGGGAACAGCATTTTAGAATAAGGGAACAGCATGCATGAAGGCCCCGCATGGCAGAGAAGTGTGGCACATTCTAGGGACTAGAATTAGGCAAATGAGGTCTGTCGTATAATGAGTAAAAGTGCATAGTGGCACAAGATTGGGTCAGAGAGAAGGGCCTGGGACACAGAGAAGGTCACACAGAGCCTTGCAGGCCCAGGACAAGGACACAGGTTTTCTCTAAGTGTGAAGAAGGCCACTGAATGGTTGGGAACAGGACAACGACACGGCCTAAACTAATCTGTGTTTGTAGAGCTCACTCTGGCTCTTGTAGGGAGAGTGAGTTGAGAATGGGACATAGTGGCAGCTGGGAGCTTTGGCAGCTCTTGCAAAGTCAACGTCAAGAGCATATAAATGAGGGGACTATTTCCTCATTGTGGGTGAGGCTTTGAGGAGGGAATTTTAACCCAAGTGAAAGTCCAACAGGCAGGCATGAAGGAGAAGGCTACATTCCCCACTCCAAGATGTCTCCTCCTGAATAAAGGGAAAACTTCTGTTTTACCTTTTCTGCCTCAGAAACTAGAAAGAGATGGCCATTGATCAAGAGTACCTTCCCAAACACCTATGATAGGGTTAAACAACAGTTACTATAAACCATTAGCAGTTCCAAATGCAAATAACAAAACCAAGTTGTAAAATTTGGCATAAATAGATCTGGCTGAGCCTCACAAATTTTTCCCTGGGGCTGACAGTGTCAGCAGTTCCAAGCCTGATCCCTACTGGCCTCTGAAAGACAAGATCACAGGAGAGAGAGGGGCAGAAAACCCTCCCTCGCTGCATTTCCTGAGCAAATGGGCACACTCGCCTTTGGGGGGGCAGGGCAAGTGTAGGCCAAGCCAATCAGAATGTGGTTGGTAGGAAACAGCTGCTCTGCCAGCTCTCTCTCAGTGGCCAGTCTCATGAAGGACAAGAGTTCACATTTTGTGAAGCGTGTTGTGTTGGTTAAACATCGTATGTTTCTGTTTCACTAGGTGTTGCCTGCCAGCCAACTTTGCACAGTGACACGCCTCGGGGTGCTGCTCACCTCAGAACAGGTAGTGGTCCTCCTCCTTGGTCACATTCTGCTCTCCTCACACCCTCACAGCAGCAGTCCCTTCAAGGTAGGTAGAGAAAATGAGTTTACAAACTGTTTTGTTTTCTTTCTCACTTCTTGCTTTGCCCATCCAGCACCTCCAATCCTGCAGTAACATAACAGCACCCGAATTTTTCTTCAGGATCTCAACTTAGGCAACATGGTTTAAGTGGCACCAGCCTCCCACCCAAGTTCCAGGGGTAGTACTCCTGATTTGGTTTGTCACTGAATTCCACCACCATCATGGCCCTGCCCTACCGCTTCATGGTTATTGGGTCAGGGTGAGCACATGATCTACATCAGTACAGTCAGATAACTCCTGACTTTTGCTATATCTATGGGGATGTCAGCCTGGAGCTGCTGGAGGCCATTGGAGCCTGCCTGGGAACAGGACCAGTGCAGAGGAGGCAAAGCCAAGAGACAGAGAGAGAAAGCCCGAATCCTGTGACATTATTATGGATGTAACCATATCAGGAGCTCAACCTCATGAGGGGTGGGTTTCTAACACGACCGAACGAAAGCGTTCTGACTGTCACAGGGAGGCTGAGCGATGCGAGGATGAGGACCAGGCATCTTGGGTGCTCTTTCCCTGTATTGTGTTCCAGATGACTTTATTCAACTACACAATCAAGCTTGACTAATCTGTGTGGCTAGATGGTCTGCAAAAAGATGGATATTTTAAAAATAAAAACATCCAATCACAACAGTGTTTTGTCTAACTGAATCACCGAGTCATAGCAGGGACCCCAGAGATCATATCAATGAGTGGTTTTCAAAGATATTTTTGCAACTCCTTGTTTCAAATGAAGTCTTAAGCAGAGCTTCCATGTATAAGAAATAAAAGCTGTATCTTGTAGTGCAAATATATTTTATCTTTTAAGCTAAAATTGTTAACGTTTACTTTTTATAATCAATGAAGATGCAAATATTAATGTATTTGTTTCCAAGATATAAAAACTGGTTATATAACAAATCAATATAGAGAAGATCAATGAAACAAAAAGCTGTTTCTTTGAAAAGATCCATAAAATCCATAAGCCTCTAGCCAGGCTAAGAAAAAAAGAAACAGGGCGCAAATTACTAATATCAGAAATAAAAGATCCTGTGGATGTTAAAGGATAATAAAGGTATACTATGAACAACTCTGTGCCTACAGATTTGATAACCTAGATGAAATGGACCAATTGCTTGAAGGACAAAACTCACACAAGAAATAGACCATCTGAATAGGCCTATATCTATTAAAGAAATAGAATCAATAATTAATAACTTTTCAAAACAAAAACCACCAGGCCAGCAAATTCACTGGTGAAATCTACTAAATAGTTAAAGAAAAAA